AGACCAGGGGTAAGGGTGTGCATTGTCTAAAATACTCACTGCCCAACTGGGCCCGCTTTTTCCCAGTGCCCCCTTTAGGGTTGCCTGGTGATTCACTGCTGTCCTGATGGGGAAAAGGGCCTAACCTTTAGGGACCGTCACTAGGTGGACAATAAATGCCTTGTAATCTTGCCCTAATAATTTGTGCAGGAGAGATGTTGAGGGATTAATCAGAACACTTGAACCTCTCCTTTATAACAAGCTCAATTTTCAAGTTTATTAAAAAGATTTAGTGGAAGTATATAAGAAATCTAAAAATATGATAAGTATCAATAAATTGTTTAAAGAATTCTACCACTGGTCACATGATTTCTATCAAGACACCAAATGATGGTGTGCATCCTACAATGAGGCTGATTGCCCACCCTTCGTGGAGAGGGTATGAGGCAGAGAACTCGACTTGCAAAGTCAGATGCTGCCTGGATGAGAAAAGCTGTTCCAGTTCGTTATCTAACCCATCCATGGTGGGTTCTTCATCCATAAAAAGGCAGTGTGCTTTGCTCACAGGTGGTTAGGAGATTCGTGAAACCTGGGGAGAGCACAGTGAAGCCCACGATCCAGCCAATCTAACCAGTCTTGTAAAAACCATGGGAAGCTCCTCTGTAGCTTTTCTTTCAGGCATGTTCATTAACAGACATTCATAGTTAATCAGAACAAGATGTTTAAAACGGTATTTATAGACTTCAAGGTTTTCAAAATAGCGATAAATGTATAACAACTTTGTATATACATATATATGAATTAAAATGAGCTAATACCATAATAGCACTCAATTGACAAATATTTGGGGGATACATCTGAACTCAGCTTCCTTCAAGGTGCATATCCTGTGAGACAGTAGCATTGATTGCCAAGCTGATGCCCCTCCTCCCTGCATATGTAAACATTTCCCTTCCTATCTTTGGATTGGTGTGTGTATTCTTGAATTTTTAAGCAAATGATTATTCATGTTATTCTATGTTATTTTTTTTTTTTTACAAATTATTTTGTTGGGTGCATTCCAGCATCTAAATGTGCTGTAATTACTTAACTAGTCCCAACTATTGGACCCTTAGTTTGGTTCTGATTTGTCATTACCATAATTAACCTATGACAAACATTCTTACGTAAAAAACATTGTACACATCTCTGATAAATTCCTTAGGATAAACTCTTACAAGTAGAATGTCTGCGTCAAAGGGCATGGATAACCTTAAAATTTTTGACTTGCCAAACTAACTCACATTCCTCTCAATGATTATTAAGGGCCCCATTTTCCTTCTCACCAACATTGAGTTTTACCACTTCAAAAAAAAAATCTTTACCAATCTTAAACAGTAAGTGGTAGAAAACACCTGTCTCCTACTTTGTTCTGGTAAGTACAGTATGGGGAAGGTAATCAAGTCTTGACAAGACCAAGTTGTGATTCTGAAGATGAGGTTTCTGTGGTCTGCTCTAGAGTTAGAGTATGAAGGTTATATACAAAGAAAGCTTCTTGCCTCAGAACAGACTCTTCGTGTATGAATCATGAGTGAGGAGGCTTGGATTCTGGTTCTAGCCAGTCAGGTTTCTTCAGGCTACTTCTGTATTCTCGAAATTTACCTTAAATACCTCAGAGGAGCCAGCACGATGCTTATCTATGTGGGTAAGTCAGCTTGAATCTGCTTTGGAATCCACCCTCCAGAGGCCATAATGCGGGCACTTCAGAAATGGCCTTCTAAATAAAACAGTACCAGAGGGTTAATTCATTAGTATAAGGAATGTCAGAAATAATTTTTCATTGATGAGATGAATGATGTGCGAGATATGAAGCTGACAAGATTGTACAAGTGTCTCTCTGCCTTTTTTTTTTTGAGCAACATAAATGAGTTTGGTAACTTAATGTTTCTGGAGTAGTGCCCTGTCTAGAACTCCATTTGTTCCCGACTCCTCCACTTAATCAGGCATTTAGTTGCTTGATCTGGCTAGAACAGTGGTTCTCAACCTTGGCTGCACATTAGAATCACCTGGGAATCTTTTTAAAATCCTGATTTCCAGGCCTCATCCTCCGGAAATTCTGTTTCTTTGTTATGGGGTGGGGCCACAACGTTAGTAACAAAGAAACAATTTCCGGGAGGATGAGGCCTGGAAATCAGGATTTTAAAAAGATTCCCAGGTGATTCTAATGTGCAGCCAAGGTTGAGAACCACTGGGCTAGAAGGGTAGCTGATTATGTCATTATAATACAGGTGCACTTGCCTCAGATAGAAACTTTCCTGGGAAGGTTCCCACAGAGTGCAAAATAAGACAGTGAGGGAGGACTCCACTGAGCTTCCGGAAACATGTTTTGGACTCTAGTGGTGCCTGCCTGGTGATAAATATCTTTCCTGTGGCAGAATTCAACCCCAGACTTGCTTTCATTATAACATAACAAACAGGGAGTAAGGTTGTGGGGAAGGAGACCTATCATTTCTAACCTCACTTCTGAAACTTTTTGCTCATCTGTGTGTGTTGCAGAAGGAATAAATTGTTTGCCTTCCCAATTAGTTCTAAAAGTTCTAGATGATGTGGTAAAAGAACTTAGCATTTGATTCAGGTTGCCTGGCATTATTATTCAATAGAAAGGAACTGTTATTTATAATATTTAATATTAATTTTAATGATGCTTAATAGAAAGTGAATGAAAAGGAAATTGAAGTGCAGAGAGAATAAATAAATACTTGATACCCCTCTGATATGAACTGAATTGTGTCCCCCCCAAAATTTCTAAGTTGAAGCCCTAACCCCCAATGCAACTGTATTTGGGGATAGGACCTTTGAATAGATAATTAAGGTTCAATGAAGCCATAAAGGTGGAGCCCTAATCCAATCTGAATGGTGTCCTTATAAGAAAAGACACCAGGGATGCACATGCACAGAGGAAAGGCCTTGGGAGGACACAGCAAGAGGGTGTTTGGCCTCAGGAGAAGAAACCAAACCTGCCACCACTTTGATGTTGGACTTCTAACCTCCAGAACTATGAGATCATAAATTTCTGTTGTTTAAGTCCCCCATTCTGTGGTATTTTGTAATGGCAGCCTTATTGACTGATACACCCTCACCTTTGTGAGATGGGGCAGAAAGGTGCTTAAGAGGGCAATTGTGGTGAGGTTTCTGCTCAGGAAAATCAAAAGTGACAGACTAAGGGATTTTCTGAAAAGAATCAGCCACCACAATTTTGTGAGATTATGGAGTTTTGTAACTTAACACATGTTTTTTTGTGTGTGTTTTTATCTCCTTTAGTAAATAGAACTAAATCTAAATGAAAATCACCCTTTAATTCATTCAAAAAGTATTTATTGAGGACCTACTTTCTATCAGGCAAGGTACTAGGTAAGATGATATCAAAGGTCTCTACCCTCTGGAGCAGTGGTTCTCAACCTTCCTAATGCCGTGACCCTTTAATACAGTTCCTCATGTTGTGGTGACCCCCAATTTCATTGTTACAAATTGAACATAATTAAAGCATAGTGATTAATCACAAAAACAATATGTAGTTATATATGTGTTTTCCCGTGGTCTTAGGCGACCCCTGTGAAAGGGTCGTTTGACCCCCAAAGGGGTCGCGACCCATAGGTTGAGAACTGCTGCTCTGGAGAGTTCAGTTATCTTTCAGACATCAGGGAAGGGGGGGGGGCGGCTAGTAGGGGAAAAGGGCACAGGCTAATAGGGCAGAGGGAGACAGCCCCAGGAGAGGAAAGCTGGAGAGGATTCTGGGCCCACAGGCAAGGGGAAAGGAGTGGGGAGAAAGTAAGAGGCTGGGCAGTTCAAAGCCTGGGAAACAGTGGTAGAAAACTAGTAGAGACCAAGGCAGTGGCTCAAGAGGGTTCACCCAGGACCAGGGAGGACCCCTGGGAGTGCTGCGTGGGTCGGGATGGGGGAGAGGAAACTGTAAATAAAAAGAGGTCCATGCCAGGGCTGGTGTGATTCTGATTGAGCATTGACCTATGAACCAGGAGCTCACAGTTTGATTCCTGGTCAGGGCACATGCTTGTGTTGCAGGCTGATCCCCAGTAGGGGGCGTGCAGGAGGCAACCAGTCAATGATTCTCATCATTGATGTCTCTATCTCTCTCTCCCCCTCCCTTCCTCTCTGAAATCAATAAAAAAAAAAAAAGTACTTTTTTTTTAATAGGCCCCATAGCAAATTTTCACCTGCTTAACAATTTTGCCTGAAACCAAGCAATTTATATGTATTGTCTCCTGAATCATCTTCCCTGGTAGCCCTAGTGCAGAAATAGTTTGACTTGTGGCTCAAGTTGATGGGAGTTTTGTCATCTTAATTAACTACCCAGTTCCATTACAGGTTGGAAAATGTGAGGTAAGTTGAAAAAGTTCAAGGGGCTTCTTATTAGGCCTGGTAGTTGACACTGCCATGAAGTCAACATAGAGCTTCAGTGCATTTCCATAACCATGAAAATGAAGTTTGCTTCAGATAAATCAAAATGCTTATAGAAGTCAAATGGACTATCAGCAGATCCATTACCAAGAAGTGTCTTGTGCAGTGACCCTTTCATGCATCAAACAATGCTTCGTGGTGCTTTCCTGGCCCTGTTCCTGTAACTGTTCCTCTCTAGGGGAACAGTATTCTCTCACCTTGTCTGTCTTGTAGACAGGAAGGGAGGCAGAGGGAGGAGCAATGATTTTGGAATTGGCTCCCCAGGTTAGAGAATCTGTGTTCTCAGAGATCTTCAAGAAACAGTCATTTGGCTCTGAGTGATTTTAACATTGATTGACTTGATAGATTTTTAAGATTCCCTCTAGCACTTTGACTTTGTGACCCTGATGACTAGGAAAATGTTCACTGATGCACAGACCTCACTTCTCATTTCATGTGATGCCATATTGCCAAGTTATAGCTGATGTTGGACACAGGCTTTGTGCCCACCAGAGTGATTGTTACCAGATCATAGCTGTTGGTATTTACATCAATTTTAATTCAGATCACCTTCTATTCAATCACAGGTCATCTTTAGATGGTGGAAGATTTCTCTAAGGAGTGGGTATCAATCAACAAAACCTGGAGAAGTAAAAGAATCTCATGAAGACTTCCGAGAGAATTCACATCTTCAGAGTAAGGAAGGGAGCATGCTATGCACTTATTGCTGTTAAGTTCCCTTTAGTGATTAATTTGGCAGAGAAGGATCAAAGATATCATCATTTGAAATATCGATGTCATTCTGTACTTAATTCAGTACAGTAGATATAGTAGAATATTGTATTCTTACAGCAACTATTTATAAAATGCATTATTGGCTTAAAAAGAACCATGTTGGAGAAAGACTGTCCACGTTTCATGAATAAAAATCAGTCCAGGCCTTCCTTCCTCATTTAATAAGAGGTATGTGCTTATAAAATAAAGTAGGAAACACTGTCCATTTTCAAGTTTAGATCCATTTTATTTTCTAAGCCCTGTGGTACCTAACCCAGAACTAGATGTTTAGTAGTGCTGAATATTCATCAGCAGACCATGTGATTTTCAGACTGACTTCCACAAAACCCAGAGATGGGGGTTGGGCAGGACAGATTGGAGGTGATTGTCTTCTAAATAGAGGCTTAAGGGCCAAGTCCTCACCTGCCTCTTGCTTGCCCCAGGCACCTTCAACACCCCTACCCACCTGCACCTCCCCCACCACCCCCCAGATAAGATAATGAGGGGAGAGTGACAGGGTGACATCAGGTTCAGGGTAACCACTTGTGTGTTTCCTGATCCTGGAGGAATGGGCAATAAAGTGGGAATTTAAGGGTCAGACTGAAGCCTGCCCCACTCCCTCTAACCTTCCTTTCTGGAGAGAAGAGTGGAGGGATTCAGTCAAGGAGTGCACCCACACTGGCTTTTAAAACTGCAGTTTGGAGAGCGGCTAATTTCAGGGCTACCTGGGGGCCTTTCTCCAGGAGTGGGGCTGAGATACGAAATTAAACTGTCCTGGTGAGTTCAAAAGCTCAGTTCAAAAGCTCCCATTTCTCACTTTTTAGACCTACAGCATCCCAGCAGAGGGGAGACCTCCAAACCACACTGCTATTCGTCCCCCTCCTCTCTTGGTTCTCAGGGAACCCCTCAGAAAGGCCTCTCTGCAGCAGAAGGAAGGGTGCACTGTGGCACAGAGCAGGATCAGGGGCTCTGCCTCCACCCAGCATGGTGTGTAATCAGCTCTTAATCATTGGTTGCTGCTGTTGTTAAGAAAATGATGTTTGCCTAGGTTTCCATCCCATCTTTTGTCATAGTTCCAAGATCTCCTCCCCACCAAAATTTTCTCATCCAAAATAATTATGTTTAAATCCTACACATTGGTGACATGTCTAGAAATCTGGGTTAGTTTTGGTGGCATCCTTGGCAAAGGACCTGACCTGTGTCACTCTTGCTTCCTTGGCTTCTCAGTAGCACTTAGCCTGAGCTGATATTTTCTTCCCTGACTTCCAGGGCATCTCGATAGGTTGGGTCAAGGCTCTGGCTTTAAATGCCAACTGTAAATAAACAAGCCCCTCATCTCCAGCCTGTACCTCTCCCAGAACTCCACACTCAGAAATGTATCTAGCTGCCCTCTCAACATCTTCACTTAAATATGTAGTAGCCTCTCAAATGTAACATGTCCAAAAATAGCTCCTGATGGTCCCCTAAAACCCTCCCAGAAAATGTCAGCCAAAGATTCTATAGTTACCCTTGGTTCCATTCTCTTACATGCTAGATTGAATCCATCGATATAACTAGAATCCAAACTGTGGTGACCCCAATAATGCCCACCAACCAATATTCACACTTTTGTGTAATCCCCTCCCACACTGTATCTAGATCAGTTGTGCAACCAACAGAACTTGGCAGAAGTGATGGTATGTCACTTTCGAGGTTAAGTTATAAATGACACTGCAAAATCGGCCTTTTCTCTCTTTTCTCCCTTTCTCTCTCCCTTTCATCACTTGATCTGGGGGAAGCCAGCTACCATGTCTGAGGCAGCTCTGTGGATAGGTCCATGTGGTGCAGAACCGAGGCCTTCATTCAACAGCTACGTGCATGAGTTTTTTTTAATAAGAGGGTCTTCCAGCCTTAGGCCTCAGATGATGCAACCCGTGATGTCTTGACTGTAACCTCATGAGAGGCAAAACCCGAACCAGAACCATCCAATTAAGCCACTTCTAGATTCCTGAACCTCAGAAACTGTGAGATAATATTTATTATCTCTGTTGTGTTAAGCCAGTAAACTTTGGGGTAATTTGTGAACAACAATAAATAACTAATACACAAATGAATGCTTCTAACCATCTCCACTTCTGGTCCAACCAAGGACAACCTCTCTCCCAGATCATTGAACCAGCCTTCCATCTGGTCTCACTCTTTCCACCCTTGCCCCACAGTACTTTGTTCTCAGCACAGCAGCCATTATTTCAACATTTATTTATAAAACTAGAGGCCTGGTGCACAAAAATTTGTGCACTCGGGTGGATCCCTCAGCCCGGCCTGTGCCCTCTCGCAGTCTGGGGCCCCTCGGGGACCCCTTCCCCTGGCTGCTGGCACCAGTTTTTCTCCGGCGCCTGGAACCCAGGCCTTTGCTCTTTGCCGGGAGGGGCCGGCGCAGTGGGCGAGGGGCTTAGCTCCTCACTCACTGAGCACAGGCCCCGGGGGCATGGCGGAGGCAGGCGTGCGGTGAGCCCCGGGGACATGGCGAAGGCCGGCACGGTGGGCTTCCCTCTTTGCTCTTCGCTTGACACGCCGGCTTCGCTCACTGCTCCTGCCCCGGGGCCAGCTGGCCTCGCTCCGTTGCTTGGCGCCTACCTATGCAAATTAACCACCATCTTTGTTGGCAGTTAATTTGCATATCGCCCTGATTAGCCAATGGGAAGCATAGCGAAGGTACGGTCAATTACCCTTTTTGTCTTTTATTAGATAGGATGAGACTTTGTTAATATATTGGTGTCACAATATTTCAATTTTGAGTAATTTAAAACCTTTGCAGGACATTTGATCCTGTCCAAAATGTCCATACTTAGAAACTGTCCCTGGGTTCACATAGCCCATAATGCTTTATTCTACCTTTGGTTTATGGGATTAATACCTTAAAAATACTATCATATTTCATTGGCCCAATAATTGGGTTGTGGCTGTATTGCCAATAACCCTTCTTGCCTGGGTAGCCTGGCTGGTAATGGCCCGTGGGATTAGGCAGTTGGGTTGGGGTTTGAATCTTTCAGGAGAACTGGATTTATATAAACTATGAACCAAATGTCTCCTGACATTTTGGACAGGACTGAATGTCCACTAATTGTTCAAAACTTATATAAAATGCCTGTTACTTCACAATATTCACAAATTCCCCCCTCCCCCCCTCAAAGCTGCTATATTAATTATACTCTATCCACCAGGATACAGGAGTTTTCTTATACCTTTGCCATCACTAATTAGATATTGCTATCTTTCTTCATCCTTTCCAGTCAAATAGTGAAATCAATATCTTGTCTAATTAGCATTATCCTGATAATGAGTAAGTTGAGCCTCCTGTCATGTTTAATTGCCATTTATATTCTTTCTGTAATTTGCCTGTTTGTATTCTTTGTCCATTTGTCTGTGAATTTTGAATTTTTTTTCTTTCTGAGACCTTTAACAATCGGAGGAAATGTCTATAGATTTTCCTCCCAAGTTAAATAAATAGGAACAATCAGGAAATTAGCTGTTGGAAACTTTGAAAATTTTTAGTTTAAGGTAAAAATGTGCCAATATAAACTCAATTGAAAGTGCTGATTCATGGGTTGAGATTGAATCCAACTTAAAAGTAAGTTGTTTTCCAACTTATGTTCATTTTAAAGTTGGTTGTCCATTTTAAAGTTGGTTGCTTAGACCTTTTAATGAGTTCTAAGTGGTGGTTAAGTATTTAGGGTAATCCACAAAAATCCCTGTGATAAAACCAAATGACAACAACTATACTTTCTGAACCAAATGACTAAGGTTTCTTATTTTGGGTATTGCATGTGAAAGGAAATGTGGGAGATAATCATTTTGATGTTAAAGTTTTTTAATTCCCTTGGGCATTTAGATGATTGTGGGGAGAATTTGACTGAATGTTTGAAATGAGAACTATAATGAAAAATTGATAATACTAATAAACATGAATGTCCTGAAATACTGAGTTCTAGATCCTAGGAATATGGGTACAGCAGGAATAGAAATTGGAAAAGACAGTCCTTCTTTCCAGCCTGGGCCAACCCCATGTATGGATCCATAATCCATTTTCTCTAGGTCCTTTCTCCAGCCTTCTATCTCAGCCTTGGACTTGCAGTTTCTCCTGCCTAGCCACCACCTCTGACTCTGCTCCTCTGATCAGTCACTCCCGGTCTTCAGCCTGGATTCTTGGAGTTTCTGCAGACCTGGGGGACAGTCTGTGAGTGGGGGGTGGAATGGGAGAGTGTTAGGGGCAGAAGCACTACAGGACAACATGGAGCCAGTTTCCTGTATATCCTCCCAGAAATGGTCTGTGCATATATACAACACAGGTTAACACGAAAAGAAGAATCTTATGCCTTGTGTTCTATACTTTGACCTTTCTAAGTTTTTAAGTTTAGAAATATCTTATACCTACAAAACAGAACAGAAAGTAATACCCAACACCACTAACCGAAAATGTTAACATTAGTCACATTTACTTCATTTTATCCAGATTATCAAATGTGTTGTGAAGTTGCTCAGAATATCCTCTCCTTTCTATGTCTGTAGTATCTGTAGTGATGTTTTCTTTTTAATTCCTTGATCATGGTAATTTGTGCACCCCCCCCCTTTTTTGTCTTGATGAATCTTGTTGAGAAGTTATTCATTTTATTAATTTTTTCAAAGAACTACTGATTTTCTCCATTTTAGTTATTGATTTCTGCTCTTACCTTTATTATCATTTCCTTCCTACCACTTTCTTTAGGTCTGATTTGTTGTTCTCTTTCTAGTTTCCTGAGATGGAAGCCTAATCATTGTTTTTAGCCATCTCCCCCCACTAAATGTTCTTTAATTGCTTCTGTATCTGTATTAGGTAAGTTTTGATAAATTGTATCTATAGTCTCATTCACATTAAAATATTTTCTAAATTTCATTTTGATTTCTTCTTTGACTCATAAATTATTTTAAAACATTCTGTTTAATTTCCAGGTAGTTGGGATTTTTTTTATTACTTTCCCTTCCCCCAACTTCTGGCTTAATTGCATGTGATCAGAGAATCTACTCTGAAGGGTTTTAATTTTGTGTCATCCTTTCTCGGGGTCATATTAATTTTCTCTTTATCATCCCAGTTTTATTATACATGCTGCTGAAGTGAGCACTGTATTTATTAATATCTTTTAAAAAGTTACATATACAGTCAGATTTCTACCTCTTACCTATTTCCCCTTTATTCTCTCCTAGTAACTGTTCTAAAAAGTTGGTATCATTTCTAAACATATTTATTATACATAGTTACAACTATATATAAATAATACATACTATTTTTATGCTTAAAATTTAACATAAATGGTATCATACTATATAGTTTTTTTATTTTATCAATCTACATTGTTTTTGAGATTTATCTATGTTGATATATGTGGATCTAATTCATTTATTTCAATGGTCAATGATATTCTATTCCATTATAAACCATAGTTTATTCAATCAGTCCCCCTACTGAGGGTAGTTGGGTATACTAGTTTAGAAGTATTAAATCTGCCTGGTGAATTATTTCTTTTATCAATAAGTAATGGTCTTTCTTATCACCAATACTGAATTTTACTTTAAAGTATATCTTGTCTGCTAGTAATATGTTTTCTTTTGGTTTGAATTGGTTTTTTTCTATACTTTTACTTGTAGTTTTCCATATCATTGTCTTAGCATGTCTCTAGTAAATAGCATATAAGCAGAAATACTTGTGTGTATGATGTGTTATTTATCTGAGAGTCTTTTACCTTGCCTGATTAGTTCATTTACATTGATTATGATTACCACTATGCCAGTAATTTCTATCATCTTATTTTGTGTTTTTATCTTTTTTTTAATATATATTTTTATTGAATTAAGAGAGGAAGGGAGAAGGATAGAAAGATAGGAATATCAATAATGAGAGAGAATCATCAATGGACTGCCTCCTGCCTGCCCCCCATTGGGGATTGAGCCCACAATCTGGGCATGTGCCCTTGACTGGAATTGAACCCGGGACCCTTCAGTCCACAGGCTGATGCTCTATCCACTGAGCTAAACCGGCTAGGGCTATGCTTTTATCTTATCATACTTTTTCTTTGCTTTTTTTGTTTGGCTCCCATTTTCTCCTTTTTTTTGTTTTCTTTATTCTATTTTTTCCCCTTAAGACAGAGTTGGCATTTGCCCCTACCTTGCACTTGTGGCTGTGTGCCCTACTTTTTCTCAGTAAGATGTGAGCTAAGTTCTTTTATAGAGCTCCCCAGAAGGGTCCTTCTGACAGGGACAGACCCAGGCTCCATGGACATTTTTGTTCATTGCCCTGCCCCTTTTACCTGCCGCACCCTGGTTGATGTCTTGGTACAGGAACCATGTTAGCATGCCCCCCAAGGATGAGAGCCACATCCTAGAATGTGAAACAGAGATAAAAGGACCCTGGGACATTAATAACTTAATAGAGCTCTGGCAGCAGTCTGTGCGGCCTACCTTCAGAATCTAACTGTGTGAGGGAGAAAGAAAAATCCTAGTTGGTAAGCCACCTTAAACTGAGTTCAGAGAACCAATTTCCAACTGACTATAGAGCAACTATTTTGGAAGTTACATTTTTCTCTCCCTTCCCTTCTCCCTTTCTCCCTCCTTCTTCCCCATCTCCCTCCCTTCTTTTCTATATTTTAAAAAAATTACACTGGTAATATGGGGTTATTATAGTGGTAAACAAAAGCCTTCACAGCCGAAAGCTTTTCTAAAAGAAAGGGTTTGTTGAGCCTTATGCCAGCCAGAAAAAGGACCAGGTCCTGGGGTGTGCAGCCTAACCCACAGCCAGATGGAGAAGACTACAAGTCTGCCATCTTGGCATTGACTGGCTCTTTTCTGCATTAAGTTTGGGGAAGAAAGATGAAAGTTGTTTTGAAAGAATTTACATTGGCTATAGATAAAGGGGTGGGAGAAGGTGAAGCAAGCGAGTTCTGGGACAGGTGCAGAGCCTGGAAGGAAGAAATGTTGGCTCTTTTGTATTGATTTCGGGCAACAGTCTGGAAAGTTAATGCATAAACAAGATCCTGTGGCACTAATGGTCACCTATTCTCTCTGGATAATCTCTGAAATAGCCACCTGGAAGTTAGCTCAAAGTTTCAGCATACACTCGGGAATGTAAGCAGTCTTTTGTTGGTTTTGCCCTGTAGTTGTTAACTCATTAACCTCTCTTGTCTCTTCCTACCATCCTCTGGTCTGCCGTAATTTATTTATTTTATTTTTATTTTTATTTATTTTTTTATTTTTGGTCTGCTGTAATTTAATTTAGGACATCGCAGAATTGTTTTTCTTGTCAGTAGAAAGATTAGAAAATACAGACAAACAAAAAAGTAAAAGTCTCCCTCCAGATTTAACCACTGTTAAAATTTGAATATATATCCTTCCAAACATGTTTTCCTATTTATTAGCTATTTTTTGGTTATTCAGGGAGCTTGGGTTAAAAAAACACCCCACTTCCCCTTATATTGAACATGTGAGGTAGATGATTATATTGGTTGATTCTTTGTGAACTGTTTCCTAATTTGGAAATCACAAAAACGGTGTGAAAAATATTGGGCAAAACTTAACACAATTTTCATAAAATATTCATCTATCTTTCTCTTTGCCTCTATTTTTTCCTACTGTGTAAAGATAAGGGTAAAAAGAAGGTAAAGCGGGCCCTGGCTGGTGTGGCTCAACTGGGTGAGCGTCATCCCAGGCACCAAAAGGGTTACTGGTCCGATGTCTGGTCAGGGCACATTCCGGGTTGCAGGCTTGACCCCAGGTAGGGGACGTGTAGGAAGCAGCCTATCGATGCTGTGCTTTCACATGTCGATAGATGTTTCTTTCTTCTTCCTCCCTCTCTCTCTAATAATCAATAAACTATTTTCTTTTTTTAAACAAAGAAGGTAAAATGGAAGGAAGAAACTTTGGTGGAGAAGCTACAAATAACAAGAGAATAATAATTAAACAAAATTAAGAGATATATATTTCAGACCCATCTGAGGAGAGAAGAGGCGGCAGAAAAACTACATGAACCAGCATCTGTGCCCAGTCGGGAGGTTGTGAGGGTGGGGATGATGATGTTGCTGAGACTGGTTAAGTCAGATGTCTGGTCTGTAATTTATGCTGATGAGATCAAGGGGATGCAGTCCATCACTATGTTATACACTGAGTGTCCCTAAAAGGTTCTGACCCTCGGGCAGGGGTAGCAATGGGAAACAATCGCCTCCAAATGCAGGCCACTGGGCCCACAGGCAGCTTGGTGAAAGTAGGAATGACTCAGCATAATATAATGGCACTCTCAGGGAAAAAGTGCCCCAAAGCCTGCAACTTACTGATAATGATCAAGTTTTTTGTGACTGCACATGATAATCATCTTGGTTTGTTGTTTTCTTTGAATTACAGTTCAAATTGCCTTGGTATTCGGTGCAAGAATATTGGACTATGTCTTCAATTTGTGTGAAGGTAAAATTGACTTCCTTGAGCGGCTCTCAGACAATTTGCTCATGAATATCATTTCTTATCTGGGCATTGAAGATATTGCCAGCCTTTCTCTCACATCACACAGATTTTCAAAGGTAATGGTCATATATTTTGTGTCCATAGAGAATTTTTCTTGTGCTTTGTCAAAGTTGTTTTTCTGTATTTTTAAAAATATGGCAGTGATTTATTGCTTGCATTTATTTCAGCAAGCATGTGTTGAATATTTACTTTAAAATTTTTGTAGAAATATGTTTACATTGATTTCAGAGAGAGGAAGGGAGAGATAGAGAGAGATAGAAACATCAATGATGAGAGAAAATCATCGATTGGCTATCTCCTGAATGCCCCCTATCGGGCCTGAAACCCAGGTATGTGCCCTGACCTAGAATCTAACCAATGCATGTGATAATGCTCAACCAACCGAGCCACACTGGCCAGATCTCTTAAGTTCTTTATTTTATTTCAGTCTCAAAAAACTGTATGGTATAGATCCTATTTTCCATTCTTACTTTAGGGATAAGGAAGCTACGAATCAGCAAGATTAACTTGTCCAGGGTCCTACAGCCAGTGAAGGGCAGAATTGAGATCCCCAGGCGTTCTGTCAGCCAGTCAGTGGGCCAGTGTCATAAACTTTCCACTAAGGAACATATGCAGTCAGCAAGTGATCACCGAGTTCCTGCTGTGGGCCAGGCACTGTGCGGGGTGGTAGGGACTTGAAGGTGGTAAGATTGACATGGTCCCTGCATTCAAGGAGCTTACACCCGAATGAGGGTCAGAGGCAGTACACAGTGAACTGTCTGGACAGTGACGGCTGTGATGAGTGCTCAGGGGACTGGCGCGGGGTCCTATGAGACATAATTGACTTGGAGCTTCCCTGAAGAAGGGACATTTACCTGACTGGTAGGGGTTAGCCAGGCTGAGTGGGAAGCAGCCTGGTTAGGCAGAGGGAGTGTGTGCCAGAGACCCTGAAGAGTGAAGAACAGAGTAAGGCCAGTGCTGCTAGAGCAGAGACGAAGCTGGAGAGGCTTTTGGAGGGTAGAGCTGAGGGGGGATGGGGCAGATGACAGGGATGTGGTCAGGTGCTGTTTTAATGGATCCTGTTGAAAACGAGAGCTGCAAGGTCACCTTTATGAGACAGAAAGGTGTCTAGGCCAGACCTGACTCTGCAGCAATGGGCCTGTCTTGGAAGCATAACAATAAACGTGGAGACACAGTGTGTGGATTCAGAGGTGGAAGGGGGCCCTAGCCCAGGAGAGCCTGTGGTGCCATCCCATGGTCAAGATAAGAAGTTTCCACTTATCAAACTTCATGCCACCAGCGATCAGGACCTTCCAGCTGCCAGTCCTTGATCTGACTGTGTCGACCAAGTCACAGAGCCTCCATGGACAAGTTCCCGTAGGTCTGGTGGGCTGGCTGTTTATATTTCTCAGGGCAAACCACTCCTCTAGGAGCCTGGCTAATAGAAGCAAACCCCTGAAAGGCGAACCCTGGGATTGTGGTAAGCTCACTAAGCTAATGCTGCCGTGGGAACCTGCCTGGGGGCCTGCTGGCTGGCTCCGGTGGCACCGGGCATTGATACTCTGCTGTTTCTGCAAACTGCAGCAGAGTAGACCTGAGGAAACCCTCTACAGCTAGATGAGAAGGCCGAGGCACAGACGGGAGGGACAGTCATGACTAGTATATAAACATGTTCATCTTGATCATGACTCAGGAACACTGAGGAAGAAAACCTCTCCTTCGTCACGTTTTGGCTATGGAGAAACAGACTTTCCTCGTGCCCTTTGACCTTGATTCCCAAGTCTGGCCACCTGGAAGAAGCACCCAGGGAGTGGTGGAACTGGTGATGCCCAGCCCGAGGGCCTGATTCCGCAGGGCCGAGGTGGGCCCAGCATCTGTGTTCTTCACATCTTTTCTTGTGTTTACAGTAACTGGAATCTAAGAGTCTGGTCCAAGAATTTGACCCATGGATATTAAAGTTGTACAGATAAAATATCTCAGATTCTAAAAGGCTGGAAGCTCGGAGTGGGAGAGGGATTTTCCTGTCTTTACTGTGTACAGGCCGACATGTGTGTTTTAAGTCCACAGGAGGCCAGAGAGCTAGGTTCTGTTCTTAGCTCAACCACTTCCCATCACGAGCCTTTGGCAGCTGTACCCTTATCCTCTCTGAGCTTTAATTTCCCCATTTGTAAAAGGAGAGGTTTTAAGGGGATAAGCCCTAGGATTCCTTTCAAACTTATGTATATTAAGTTTATAGCTTATGTATGTTAAATTCACGCGCCACCACGAGGGGGCGCCAAGCCCACAGTTTAGTTTGCTTGGAATCAAAGTAACTGGAACCATAGTCAGGATAGATACCTCGTGTTTTGCAACCTGGCATCTACCAAATAAAAAAGCCCCAGGGTTTGGTAGTCTTAGATGGGGGTATTTTATGACGAACTTATAATACAAAACAAAACTGTAAATGTTTTCAGTATAAAATGAGTCAAATGAAATTATGCTGGTGGAAATTTCAGCTCTCTTGAGAATTCTTTCTCTTCTCCCAAAACCTCATAGTTTTCTCCCATGAAATGTGTTTACTGGAAACAGCATAGTCATCTATACTAGTATTAAAGTTTAAAGCCTTTTAAATACATATTTTATTGATTTTTTTACAGAGAGGAAGGGAGAGGGATAGAGAGTTAGAAACATCGATGAGAGAGAAACATCGATCAGCTGCCTCCTGCACACCCCAAACTGGGGATGTGCCCACAACCAAGGTACATGCCCTTTACTGGAATCGAACCTGGGACCTTTCAGTCCGCAGGCCGATGCTCTATCCACTGAGCCAAACCGGCTAGGGCAAAAGTTTAAAACCTTTTAAAGGAACAGATCTGTTTTGTTTTTAATATTTTGACACTTTCTAACTTTTTCCTTTGCTGTTTATATTTAGAATATATTGTAATCTGAGTAGAGAAACTAGACCTTGAATAACTGTTGAAGATGGATTAAGATAATGCACAACCTGCCTAACATCAAAATGTTTGTGGGCCATCACTATCCTATATTCAGTGTTGCTGTTTATGTGAATATAATAGTTTTTACTCTGATATTTATGCAGAAAGGATCTTAAGTGATTATGCTTTATTATACTACTCATTTCTGTTTGTCAATCATTCTTTTCTTTTATTAGAGTACTTTTACAGTAGCATGAAATATGAAAGTTAAGAATATTGGCTGCTTTCTCCTTAGAAATGAGTGTAATTTGAGTCAGCATGGAAGGACCTGGAGAGTATTATGCTAAGTGAAATAAGCCAGTCAGAGAAAGACAAGTATCACATGATCTCACTCATATGTGGAGTCTAATATACAAAATAAACTGTTGAACAAAATATATCCAGAGACAGAAGCATGGAACAGACTGTGGAATCTCAGAGGGAAGGTGGAGGTGGGTAGATGGTGGGGGAAGAGATCAACCAGAGAACTTGTATGAATATATGAATAACCTATGGACATAGACAGTATGGTAGTGGAGGCCTGGGGCAGGGGGTGGGGATAGGGGTAGTCTATAAGGGGTCAATGGGAGAAAAAAAAGGACATATGTAATACTTTCAACAATAAAGATTTTAAAAAAGAGAAAAGAATTGAGTGTAATAGAGTCAAGAAATAGAGATAAACACTTACACAATTTGTTCCTTAAGGGCTAGAAGCAGTACAGGAAGAAGTTAGGGCCCCAGGGAGCAAAGCAGGACAGAGGGAGGGATTGCTGTGGATTGCTTTGCTCAACACTCATTTAACTCTCTTACACTAGATGGAGTTGCCTCTGTGTACTGTAGAGGTTAGAAAGATAAAAACTGCCTTTGCAACTAGTGTGTGGGATATAGCTTACTCTTTGTCAAGTAGACCCACCTGCTTGGAAGAGTCTTGGCAGGGAGACATGAACGAGGTGAGTCAGGGCTGCCAAGTAAGTATAAATGGAGCTCTGCCTTCAGGATTTGGGTATGGTAGGTAAGGTATCAGGAAAGCTCCTTATTAATAGTGTGTTATAGCAGGGGACTGATGAGAGGTGTTGCCATAACTAATGGTGCCACCTGAAAAAGTCCTGCTATTAGGAAATCTTGGGTAAATGGAAGCTGAATTGTGGCAACTTTGATGTTGGAAGGAGGGAAAATGGACATGTGCAGCTATTGGGCCAGAGGGGTCTTGTCTGTCTTTAACCTCATGGCCCCTGGTTAAAGCCCAAGGCTGTAGAAGAGTGTCTCAGAGGAAGTTGTTTCCAGAGAACGGCTCACTTTGCCAGGTGCATGGGGCAGTGACATCTGTGCAGAGGACTTGGAGCAAAACTTGTGGTACCAGGAAGGAGTAGGTTTCCATGTGCCTGCTGGCAATCTCTGAGGGCTGCTTGGTCATTTTGATGAAGTTCAACACTGAGTAGCCTGCAGGGGACTGAGCTGTCAGCTGTGCAAGCCCAGGGGAGAGATGGCTTGAGCAAGGGCTTAAAATAGATGCAGCTTGGCCAGCGTGGCTTAGAGGTTAAGCGTTGACCTATGAACCAGGAGGTCACGGTTTGATTCCCGGTCAGGGCACATGCCCTGGTTGTGGGCTCAATCCCCAGTAGGGACGTGCAGGAAGCAGCAAGCAGCCGATCAATGATTCTCTCGCATCATTGATGTTTCTATCTCTCGCTCCCTCTTTCTTCCTCTCTGATATCAATAAAAAAAATTTTAAGAAAAGAGATGCAAATTTAGCTGCTCTCTATTAATTCATTCTAATGCAATGCTGGGTGGCAGATCAGTTGACTATACCATTATCAGCCTCTGCTATGTGGCTAATTAGAAATTAGCTAAGTAATGTTGTTTTCGAACTACATAGAACTATCTTGCATTCTGCATCTGTAATGACATCAGGATTTATTTAGTTAATCAAATATTGCTTTGTCCTTTAGACCTTTGTGCACTTGCCTCTTTCCTCAAGTAGGAAGTTTCTGGATGCAGGAGCTATGCCTGGCACCTCTTCCTGCACATGCAGTGTTTCTTCCCATGTCTCACAGGCAACAGGACGTGGGTAGTGACCTCATGAGTGAGTGTATGACTTGCACTAAACCCACACGAGTTGTGACCCACTTCTGACTTTTTCCTCCCACAGCTGTGCACGTCTGACGAACTGTGGGTGCCAATAATTGAGGCCTCTAGTGAAATCACCCCTGCCATGAAGGCTCTGGCCCAGGACCAGGGTTGGAGACAAAAGTTCTTCATTCGAAAGTTGCATCTCCACAAGAAGCAAAATCAAAAAAGCCAGGCAGGCGGTCAATGATAGGGATGTTGAGGCATGGCTGCGTTTTTCTGCTGTGTCCATATCCCTTCTCTTTCCTTTCATTGAAAACTAGGAGGCATTGCTGGTTCAAGGAGTCATCTGAAAAGCACAAAGTGCTTACTCACAGATGCAGCAAACCCCCCTCTGCAGGGCCTTGCCTGAACCACAGTCCTTCCGGTGAAGGTGAAGGTGAAGGTGAAATCATGGCCCGCACAAGGGCTGAAAGACAGGAAGCCCACCAGCGATGTCTTCCCCATCCTCCAACACCCAAAGTAAAAAAGGCTGCTTCTGCAATAAATGGCTACCAGTGGATTTTTTATTACATATCTGTTTCATCTAGGCATTGGAAAAGGGAACCAAGCTTTTGAATTCTTTGCTGATGGTATGTCATCTGAATCCATTCATGGAGCAGGGGCCACGTATCGCCAGAGGGGCAATGGCCTGGGGGGCACTCCCGTGAGTGCCACTGTCTTCCCAACTCTGCTCCTTGTAGTTTGCATTCAGGACCTGGCCCTGTGGGCCCGGGATGCTGGGCATCATCTCGCCATGCAGACAACCCCTGCCCTGGCCCTGGGGTATGGCCATGCAGACAACCCACCAGGCCAGGCATGCTCCTTGCAGATCTTGTCTAGAGCTCAGCCTCCCAGGACTTCACATTGCCAAATAAACCTATAAATATTTCCTAGAGGGATGTGTTTCCCAAAGAATGTGGACAGTTACCACTCTTATAACTGTGATTTTTAAGAACACACGCTGTGGGTAACTGTGTAAAAACCTGTGGTTTGTATTCGTTTAACTTGGCAGAGGAATAAAAACACTACAGTTTTAGGGGAGGGAATGCCACCTTGCTGAGATGGGTTATTTAAAAATAACTTTCTTCCTGCGCTCTCGTGAGGTTTAAGTCCCCCAGTGAACTCATAGCAGTGGATAATCTCATGACTCCTTTCAGGTTACAGAACAAAGTAGCTTTCAACCTCCCGTCACCTTTCTAACCTCGTTTCTTCATTCCTGCAGCCTCCACTTTGCTACCTAGAAAACAATGACATATGTAGCCCTCCACCCCACGTCCTCCATGTCAGAGGGACTCCCCTGATGCAGTGGGACCTCCCCAATCGTGCAGAAGAGGTGAACTGCTGGCTGTCCTCCTCCTAGATTCTTCTAGAATGGTTTCATAGCTATGGCTTAGTGACAGATATATATATATTTTTTTAATCTTCACTCAAGGATATTTTTCCACTGATTTTTAGGGAGAGTGGGAGAGAGAGGGAAAGACAGAAACATTGATGTGAAAGAAACACTTCGGTTGTTTGCCGCCTGCATGCACCCCGATCAGGGCCTGGCCAGGGAGGAGCCTGCAACCAAGTTGACTGGAATCGAACTCAGGACTCTGGTCCGAAGGCCGATGCTCTATCCACTGAGCAAACTAGCTAGGGCTTTTTTTTTTTCTTTTTAACTAAACCTGTGTTAATAGCAAATCAGATTTTAACCCCCATTCACATATACCCTTAACACTTGGTCATAGATTTCCGGGGACATCTGTGAAATCAAATGTCAGCTGCTGCCTTGCAGGTGAGGAGCCTGTCAAAGTCATGTCTGGATTTAGTCCAAGCACAGAGCAAAGATCTCATTGGCAAGAGACCCAGGCCTTGTTCTCTGCTCAGGAGTGGTCCTGCCAGGTGTAGGGTGACTGGCAGGCGGGCAGAGGACACCTACTTCTGCACGGCTCCTCCTGCCTACTGGTATTTCTCCCTGAAGTTCCTTCACTTTTGGCCAGGTTTTCAGTGACAGAACACAGGTCAGTACCATGTGTGTGCAGCATTTATGTGGATGTACAATTTGGTATGTCAACATAACTGTATGAATATAAAATCACAACTCATTTGTTGCATTGATGCAAAATGTCAACAGCTCAAAAATGTCATGGATTGTGTTTTATCAACTAACAGATTCTAAAAGCTTATGGGTGTGCATAATGTAGATTCAACAGGAATCAGTGAGAACACACATTTGGCCACTAGAAAACTTTTAGTATCTGTATATAATACTGTAACATAAAAATAGATGCTAAAGGTAAATAATTAAAATGTTATTAATGTGTTGATCATTGTTAAAGAATAGGTTTAAAACATAGATTACTAGATTATTAAGGTATAATTATTTGCCTTAATAATTTGGGTGCCTTATTACCTGGCAATCATTATTTTTGCCAAAACATGAACAATATCATCGACCTAAAATCCTGCATCCTCTGGCGTGGAAACATTTGCCCTCCCCCCTCCTCCTTTCCTTGTTAGATCCTCATGACAAGCCATCAAGTGAAAATATGGCGATGCTTTGCCTCTCTGTCTCTATTGACAGCTTTCATGGGGATGGATAAATCTGCTTTGTTTATGACACACCACTTCAGAGTGAAATGCCACAGCATTTTATAATCTTGCTCTTTCTCATCTTTCCAGTGAAAATCAGTGTTTCTACTGTTATCATTTACCATTGTAACTACCAAAGTAAAATATTGATTTTTTTTATGTTTTATATGCTTTAAAGTTAGAACAATTTATTAACGACAAATGTGAATATTTAATTTATAAACTAAAAAAATAAATATATTTTACCTAATATCAATTTCTATTACTGCTTTTTTGGCATATTATATGCATTAAACCTTGGTTATATGGGATGCAAAATATTTTATTTTACCAAGTAGGCCCATGAATTTGGGTGAGATGATGATTTGGGGCAGGGGTAGGGACAAATCACGAGTCACCATTTGTCATTGTTTTCCAAGCTCCTTTTACATGGTGGTCATCAGCCCTCATTTATTCCCCCAAATAAACTTACAAGATGCTGAAGAATAATGTAAACATAAAACACTTGTGCAGCGTAGTTTTTTGATCTGAGTTTTACGGTAATAACCTTTATCTCCAGTTTGTGTTAAGGAAATATTATGAGAGAGGGTCCAGGTTTTTCAACTTTGAACAGTTGATTTCGACTTGAAATGTGTATCTTTAACTGGATGCAAAACATTATATAGACAAGGTACCACCATACCAAAGAAAAATGTGCATCCGCAGTTAAAAACAAATGTCTATATTGTCATTTTACAAAGTACAATTATTGTCTTAGCTTTCCTGTTATTGTTTTCAAGTGAGATCATTTACACAATGGGGTATCATGAGTTTGCCCTTGAGACATGGGACCTCTAGGGCTGGGAGCTACAGAGCAGGACTCCCAGTTTCCTGCTTATCACGTTCCCTCAAGCGCAGATCTCCATTCAGAAAAGTTGTTTTCAGCTGGGAAATCTGTTCTGTCCATCCAGAAACTGTTAGGATCATAGATCCATGGTCAAGACAAGTTGGAACACCCTTAGAAATAATAGCAGTTTCCATTTGAGTGTATACTGAGTACCAAGAAATAAACAGGTAGTAATCAATTTAATTCTTACAGAAAGCCTTGAAGGTAAGTGATATTATTTCTCTCTTATAGATGAGGGGTAAATAAACTATGGCATAGGTCAAATTTGATCAGCTGCCTATTTCTGTATATAAAGTTTTATTGGGCCACAGTTCATGTTTATGTTCACAGATCATGTTCACACAATGACAGAGGGAGTCACAATATAGACTGTATGGCCTGCAAAGCTGAAATTATTCTGAGAGGACAAGTTAACTTTCCCAAGGTCTCATAACCAACAAGTGGTAAAGTTGAGATTCAGATCAATAGCTACCATCTCTATGTTCTTAACCACAAAAGCACCACGTCTCCTTTCACAGCCAACACCACTTTTGACCAGTGGGACTTGAAAAGGTGATGGGATTTGTCCAAGGTCACATTTGAAATAACACGGGAGAGGGCCTAGGACATAATATAAAAGACCATTCTAATCTAGTCGACCAGAGAATATTCTAAGCATTTTTCTTTTCTTTTTTTAAAATTTATTTTTATTTCAGAGAGAAAAGGAGAGAGAGAGATAGAGCCCAATCGGTTTGGCTCAGTGATTGAGCATCAACCTATGGACCAGGAGGTATGGATTCCCAATCAGGGCACATGCCCAGGTTTCGGCTCGATCCCCAGTAGGGGGATCATTGATGTTTCTATCTCTCCCTTCCTGTATGAAATCAATAAAACATCAATGATGAAAGAGAATCATGTGCCCTGACCAGGAATCCAACTGCCACCTCCTGGTTCATAAGTCGACGCTCAACCTCAGCCACACTGGCTGGGCAGAATATTCCAAGCTTCGATGAACTAAATTAGTGCCCATTTTTCTATAAAGTATCTTAAATTCATTTAAATAATAAGGAGCATCTTCAAGATGCTCATATGCTCTTAGAAAAATCTAAGTAAAGGATTGAGTAAAGGAATTGAATATGGTTCGCTGGTTCTTGCTCAGTCCTCTCTTCTTCCTGCCACTGTCCTCCACTACCTTGTCTGACAATGGAAGAGGCTCTCAGTGCCACTCAGACCCTCTCTGCTTCTGATTGTTGGTCCGCACAGTTCATTTGTAATACCCTTAGTGCACTGCCAGTGGTCTCTGCTCCCCCGCCATGGCTCAGCTCCCCCCTCCTTGGCGACAAATGCTGCTGCTTCTCAGTCTTTGCAGTTCAGCATCAGCATTCTTCTCCCACCTCGCTGCTCTCTGAACATTTTGATGTTGGAGACCTCCAGGTCACATAAGCCACACCATTATTATATTTAAGGGTGGATCATGAGCTTTTAAAAGGGAGTTTAGCTTTCTTAGCCATAACTGCACCATCTGAGCCTAAAGATGCTGAAAAAGTTGGCATTGAAATCTTAAAACATGACTCAAAAGGTATCTTTTCCTTGACTTTCTGAAGTCAAAATTGTACCTTTTCGGTACCTCTTAAAGTGTGGCATTTTGAGAGCAATCATTCAGAGTTTACAGAAAAAAGGAATTGAATATTTTAAATGTGGATGTGATGAGCTCATTAAATGCCAAAAATTGATCATTAAAGCTTTTCAGACCAGCAATGCAAAAGCACTGAAGTACTCAGTAGGGTAAGAGACTGCACTGGATTGCCTGCAGAAAGGCAGACAGGCCCGCAGCTGACACTGCTGAATGCGTGTGTGCTGGGTGGAGTGTCAGCAGAAGACATCACAGAGGTATCACTTTCTAATGACTCAGTGTCTTATCAAAGTAAAGATTTAGCTGAAGACATAAGGCTGAGTTAATATCTGCAGATCTTTACTTTTGTCTTCCAAACACAAATCAGTAGATTTGTTTGGATTCATCGTTTTCTTGTATTCATTATCACACCAACTAATCAAAACTCCTCTCACGTGAATGCTTGGAACAGTCAACATACTGAATACCATTATTCATTCTCATGGTTGCAAAAGCAACCGTGGGTCAAAACCTGGTGCATTAGTGTGAGCCAAAGCAGTGACAACATGTTCTGGAGGTCATGTTTTTCACTGCCATGTGCTGGCAGTCAAATAATGGCAAGATTTACTTAAGGATGTCCTGGTGAAACAGTAAAAATCACTGCATTCTATTCAGTCTTTACCTGAATCCACATTTTCTTTTTCATATTCCTTGTGGCAAACGGGAAGTACATATGCACATAGCTCATCTGCTTCTAATCCAAGCCCAATGGTCTTGATGATAAGCACTCGTGTACCTGAGGTGCAGCCTGAACTGCTTTTTTCATGAAATGCCATGTTTGTTTGTTTGGCAGACACATTACTGAAAAGGAAGCTGTCACTTCAAGGAAAATAACTGCAGTACTTGTTGCCAATGGTAATATTTAAGCTTTCAAAAGGAAATTAGAATTTTGGAAAATGTATATCACCCTCCATGAGAAATAATTGAGAAATAATTCACATACCATACAATTTACCCCTTTAAAGTGGTTTAGATATATTCACAAATTGGTGCAATCATCACCATTATCTAGTTCCAGAACATTTTCATCACCCCCAAAAGATACCCCATGCCCATTAGCAATCACTCCCCATTCCTGTCTCCTCTTGGCCTCTAACAACCACTAATATACTTTCTCTATGAATTTGTCTATTCTGAACATCTATAATAATAAAAGTGGAATATGCTAATTAGACCGGACGTCCTTCCGGACGAAGCCGCGGTGGTGGGGGCAGAGGCAGAGGTGGTTAGGGGTGATCAGGCAGGCAGGTGAGCAGTTAGGGGTGATCAAGCAGGCAGGTGAGCAGTTAGGGGTGATCAAGCAAGCAAGCGAGTGATTAGGGATGATCAGGCAGGCAGGCAGAGTGGTTAGGGGCGATCAGGCAGGCAGGCAGGCAAGCAGTTAGAAGCCAGCGGTCTTGGATTGAAAGAGGGATGTCTGACTGCCAGTTTAGGCGGACATCCCCCAAGAGGTCCTGGATTGTGAGAGGGTGCAGGCCGGGCTGAGGGACCCCCCACCCCTGTGCATGAATTTCGTGCACCGAGCCTCTAGTTTCATATAAATGGAATCACACAAAAATCAAGTAATGTTTTAAAATATTGTATGAAATACAAAAACATTTGGAAGATCTAAGAACTCAGTGAACCAATATTTTCCAAATGACTTAAGCATTATGTTACAAAATCACAAATAGGTAAAAGATCTATTCAAAATGTGAGACAGATCAATAGATATTAATGTAACATTTTACCAAAAGTTCACTGATATTATATTGGATTCCACACTGCAAGTAACCTTTAAGAAATACTTGTTGAAAACACACACACAATTATTTGGAAGGACTTAAAAATATCCCACCGCTTTCCAACTACATACAAGTATGAGGCTGAATTTTCTTCATATATGTCAATCAAAACTACACATTACAACAGAATGAATGCAGAAGAAACTAAGAATCTAGTTGTCTTTTATTATGCCAGAGATTAAAGAAATTTGTAAAAAATGTAAAACAATACCACTATTCTTACTAAATATCTTTGGGGAAAACATGGTTACTTTTCATAAACATGGGTTTATATTAACACAGTAGGCTCATTATTATTATTTTAAAGTTAATACATAAATATTGAAACATTTTCTGTTCCGCTTTCTAATATGGTAAATATCAATAAAATACAGCCTACAAAAACAACATATCTTTGGGTCTTCATTGTGTTTTAGGAATATAAAAGGGATCTGAGACTCAAGAGTTTGAGACCCCGAGTCTAGCCTTGGTAGTCTATTTTTCAGTTGACAAGTAGACAAACTGATGATAGTTCTTCAGTCATCTTACTGAACCCCTATGTATTCTGTTATATTATTAATTACAGTTTCATCTGAACAGGTTACCAGTCAACTTTCCCTTAGCTTAATTATCACTTTGTCACTTGTAGTTCTGTGCAACAGCAGCTTACTTCTGCATGCTCGCTAGACACAGGCACAGGCATCAGCCTGCCTTGTTCTTATGGAAGCCCGATTTACATTTGCTGATTGAAAAACTACCATGGAAGCAGAAAGATGTAGTAGAATAAAAATATACACTATGAGTGCTCTGAATATAGTAATTGGCCAGGATGTTGTATAAAAGCAAATAATCGATGAGAGAGAGTCAGGACAAGTATTTGAAATTGATTGGAATGTTTTACTTGTAAATATGTTGATGATGTATTTCCAATCTTAGTGCACATAAGAATTGACTGATAAGCTTATTTAAAAGGCAGGTTTATTGGCCCCATCCCCCAAGATTCCAATTTACTAGGTTTTAAGTAGCCTCAAGAATCTGCATTTAAAATAATATTGGCTATAAGTTTTAAATCGAAAGAGCATTATGTGCATAAGGAAAAAAGTCAGACCTGCCCAAGTCCCTAAACTTTGCTCACCAGAGCCAACCACTATTCATGTTTTCTTGTGTCTCCTTCCAGAAATGTTCCATACATATAGAGGCCCTATGAGTAACTTTCTTTTGTTGTTAACAAAGTACAATTGTGAGTACATTATCTTGCTTTTTTATTTTGGCAGTCTATCTTGGATATTATTTTTCTATTTTATATATGGATATATCTTTAAAACAATATTTGCGTAAGTACCATATTTTATTTAACAGTTCCCTAATGATGGACAATAAAAATGTTTACAGTCTTTCATATAACAAACAATAAATAATAAAAAATTCTGTTCATCTGTCTTTGTCCATGTGTAGGAAAATATTTTAGAAATGCATTCTTTAGATTAAGAGGTGTGTGCATTTTAAATTTAATAGCTGGACTTGGCACTTCAGACACCCTGGGTGGTTCTCTCCAGGTGGTTTTATGACCACACCTAATAAAAACTTTCAAGGGGGAAAAACCAAACAGATAGTCATCAGTTACACTTTAGGAGTTTTCCTTTTAAGGTAAAAAAATTAGAGATTTTATACAAAAACTCACTGACCATCTTTAAACAGGACAACATTTATTTAGTTGTACATAAATTAAAATTACTTGGATACAGGAGGGGAAAACTACGAAGCACAAATACACAATTAACCTTTTATAATATCTTCAAAGAACTGTAAATAATAACATTTTAAACAGGAAATAATACATGTGCTATAATTCTTTATAGCATTCTCTATTATTCTGTTGTCAACGTGAATGTTGCAGGCAGATTTTACCCTATTTTTGTAAAATGAGAACTTCTGTGTGGTAGAAACCACCACTTCCGTAAAAACAGTCAACAAACAACGGTACAAACTGAAGGTGAGCAGGTTTAACTTAGACATGATACTGAAGCCGGGTCATTGGATAAAAGTTGATATTTATGATTGCATAACCAGCAGTGTGAGCATCAAAATGCATTGGCTAGAGCACCATTCAAAATCTTGAACACTGCCTCTTGTTAATTTGGTGTTGTCAGAACATGAAAGTAATGAAGTTCTGTGGTCAGTTTTAAAACACATGTTTTTCCATCTAACCATCCTAATTTTGTCACATATAGATTTAAAGACAGAGAGAGAGAGAGAGAGAGAGAGAGAGAGAGCGCGCATTGCCTCAGCATTTCATATTACATTTATCAAAATAGAGAGCTGAGTTTGTTAACAGCAGCCAAAGCTGTAATGGTACTAAATAGGTCATTGTGTTGAACAAAATGGAGTGTGTCATGCCATTTATTAACTAAACTAATTTACAGGCAATTCTCGAATCATTGGAGGTAACATTGAGTGTGTATACTAGCCATGCTCTTGTTTCTCCTTTTCATTAGCTGCCTTTTATTATTATTGTTATTTTGGGGGCCCCTCTCACTGCGCAACCCCTCCCACTAGGCATCAGGGCAGAAAATACTGAAGATGAAACAAAGAGGAAACTTATCTCTATGCAATTACATGTCAACAGCTCTGAAGTGTTTCATAGAGTAAGACACTGAAACCACTAGCCAAATTAGGCAGGGGGTAGCATTCTGTGTTTCTAATTACTAGTATCATTCCTGCCTCTAATTACCAAGGATAACTGAGAATGGTCTGTACTTACTCTAGATAAATTTGACCCAAGACACTGGGCAATGATATTAGAGGATTTTTGTGTGTGATGAGCAAATTGTGAGTAGAAATTTAAACAGTTCTAAAATATGTGTAAACAAGTAAGGCAGCCAGAAATTTCAAAATGATTCTGGGAAGAACATTCTGCAATCTGAAAAATCTTTGGCTTAGAAAAATAGAGCTCTCAGATAAAAGAAGAGAATTTGATGTCATGGATCACAGTTATCTTCTGTAGGAAATAGTTCAGGAGACTGTTTTTAAACTGTGTATAGCTCAGCCACTGGAGAGGGGCTGTTTGCTACCACTACTCCAAGGTCAGGTGCACAGACACCCACACCAAGGCGGTTCCGTTTATTACCCTCACAACCTCAGAGTCTTATATTCTGGATTTGTAACACATTTTACAAATGATTTAACCACCAACTTCATATCAACCCGCAATTAGTTCTCTATTTTATTTACTGAGCATGAGAACTCAGAAAAAAAATTTTTTTAAATGTATTTTATTGATTTTTTACAGAGAGGAAGGGAGAGGGATAGAGAGTTAGAAACATCGATCAGCTGCCTCCTGCACACCTCCTACTGGGGGTGTGCCCGCAACCAAGGTACATGCCCTTGACCAGAATTGAACCTGGGACCTTTCAGTCTGCAGGCTGACGCTCTATCCACTGAGCCAAACCGGTTAGGGCGAAAAAAAATTTTTATAGGCCCCAGATAGTGCTCATAAACAAAGAGGAGGATGATATGAACTAAAGTGCTTGAATCATAGCCCTTGATTCAGAAGTTGTGAGTACAAATACAACTTTCACTAAGGAAATTGTTATTTAGGTTTTGTCTTAAGATTCCGTGTATAACTGGATCTTACTGGATTAGGATTGATGGCAAATGCTTTTCTTGGAGGAAGATTGAGAAATTGTACTCCCGAGCTGCAGAATTCTTTCATAAAAATAGACATTTTTCTTTAATTGTACTATATGTATTACTTTTGAAATTACAGCCTGTATTTATTTTACAGTGAGAGATCAATGGCTTCCTGTAACAATGAATTTCTGAAACCTAGTCATATTCTTGTGCTTAAAACCCATTTATCTGTGAGCTTCCCAGAAGCATTTAGATATTTTATTGTCACTTTACACAGTGCAGGCAGACCTCAGAGATATTGCAGGTTTGGTTCCAGACCACTGCAGCAAAGTGAGAGTCACAATAAAGCAAGTTGCAACCCTTTTGCTGGTGGAGGGTCTTGCCTTCGATTTGTAAAAAACACAATATCTGTGAAAAGCAATAAAGTGAAGCGCAATATAATGAGGTCTGCCAGTAGTTGGGCTGAAAAGCTTTTATTCCTTGTCTCTGTTTTAAAAAGCTGTATCTAAAACCCTAGTCCCAGTGGATGGCGAGAGAAGACGGTTTTTATGAGGGCATTTCTACCAATTACTAATAGGCTGTCTTTGAAGGACATTGTCACCCCTACAACGCGTGAAGTCCTTAATACCATTCATCCCTTCTCCCCAAGTGGAAGAAGGCAGTGCTGCTCTGACATGAAGCAATGACGATGGCATTTACAAATGACAGTGCCAGTGGCCGTACAAAAGCGTTTTCCCACAATATGTCATTGGCTCCTCACAGCGACCAGGCGAGGTAGGGGTGAGAACCACAAGGAAATCTCACATGAAACATCACATGACACTACACCTGTGTGCCACCCATGCATTTCTTTCTGGATTGTTCTATAATCTGAATACATGGTTGAATGAGTAAAAAGAGGATTCCTACCAGGTAAAGTAAACCACATATATAGAAGGAAAAATCATATTTTTGTGTGATGTCGTAGATCCACCCTACAAAACAAAAAAGAATATGTTCAGTGTAATATAGTTGCTAAATTAAAGTCAACAACACAAAGCAAGCACTTATTGTGACTATAAATATGTCTATAATATATGTGTATGTCATTTAATGCCTAAAACTTTTCCTCTAGCCCTTTTTATGTCTGGGCTGTATGAACCAAAGTCCCCAGTACCTAGGGATGAGTGCATTTATCTTCTAAGCCCTGGGGACACTTTTTAAAGCACTGTAACAGTAGCCTGGGGAACCCATGCTGGAGAATTCTTCTGCTCATAGCCCTCGGGGTAATTCTCAGGCAGGCACAAAGCCAGCAATGAAAAAATGAATCTAGTGATTTTGGTTTTTTACAAATATAAATACAAATCTTTTCCAAAATCTTCAAAACAGTTTTGAAGAAATTTCTAGTGTATATCAAGAGGCTTACAAGAAGTCAGTTGGGCTTTCTGTCATTCTGAAGTGTATGAGGGTAAGCATCTATTTCAGAAAGAATTACATTTCCCAGGTTCTACAAAATTCATATTTACAGCTATAAAACTTTATACTTACGAAAATTTAAGTTGCCAAATAGATAGCCTTAAATGCCAATTAAATTATCAGTTCCTTTTAAATAATACTCTAATATTGTAATCTAATACTTTCGGGTAATAATTTTACTGGTCACTCTATAAAATACTACAGTATTTCATTGATTCTAAGATATCATGAATTACATTATTTATTCCTACCTTATGTATCAATAAGAAAAACATATCCTTGTCAATTAAAATATGACTCAATGTTTTGTAGGACTTTGTAAAATGCATTCTGATTTTAGAGATGTTAAACATGAAAAACAGTCTCAGAAACTATAATATGTTTCTTTCCCTTCAGTGATTAATTATAAGAGTCAGTCACATGCCATGGTCCCCACATAGCCAACAATGCAAACAGAGGATTAAGCCACACAAAAAAATTTTATTTATGGTAAAAATGTAAGCATAAGCATTTGTCTTTTCCATTTCAAGTGCATTCATTAGCAAAGGCGTCAGAAAAATATAAGTGATTTAATGACCAAACACAGCATTTCATGGCCACATTTCAAAATATGTTTTAAAAATATATATTACTGTCAAATGAATGCATATATGCAACTTAACCTTCTCCCACCAACAAATAACTGCACAAAAGTAACTGTTAAAGGAGGAGCCAGCACCTCCGACTTCCTGGTAGTTCTCCATATCATGTTGTTTACTGTATCTAGTGCACAGTGGATGTGCCTGGATCAGTCATGATAGTCATAAAGAAAAACAAACACTAACAGCATTAAAAATTATAATTTTTAACCACCCCAAAGCTATGAATTCTGGATATACTTTAAAAGTTAACCAAGTTTTGAGTTTGTCATTTGATTAAAAAAAAGAAAATATCAGACTCTTTCCATGTGGCTTTGTAAAATGCTCTATCGTCTTAATCTCCAATTTGAGACAAGAGGAACAGAAAAGATTAGACATATAATCCGAAAATAATGACTCTGCCTCAGAACTAAATCAGAAAGGCGCACTGACATGAACAAAACAAAACAAAACAAACAAACAAACAAAAACTTCTGCTCAGTGTCACCACTTGGCCACCGTGGACCACTGTGAATCATGACCAATGAATGAGTCCTTTGCAGATAACGCAGAGAAGTCTGTACATGTATATGGAGTATACACACAACGGGACTATCCATAAGCGACCATTTAAAAACATCAATAACTGTAAATGAGGTTCTCATACTCCACTCATCCCAGAGGAAAGATGACCTTGTAATTTTAATAGTTAAATCTTCACTTTTCATATGATCAACTGACAGAGTAGAAAATGATGGCTCTAAACAACAAACACTGATAGCTGCAAGGAGTTGCTGAAATACCTTTGCTGCTTAGCACAGACCTCAAAATAGGACAAAATCCTAACTGGCTGGAAAATTAATTTGTTTTTAGTTCAGATGATTTACTTTTTGGGTGAGTGGTTAATCTAAGTTCCAAGGCTCCGTGATGTGTTCTTCCCACCGCTCTCCCTTACTGCCCTGAGCTGACCACGAGTACAAGCCATACTAAATATTTTGAAGTTTCAAACACATTTATCTTGGCTCCTCCTCTGTACATGTACTATTTATTCCCCCTTCTGGAGGGTATAATAATAAACACTATCACCCTTGGAACATCCTCACACCTCCTTCCCACCACACCAGGCCCCCTCTTGTCTCTGCAGACTACAGAAAACGTCTGCTAAGTATCCTATATAATAAAAGCCTAATATGCTAAGTGTCTGGTCAACCGGTCAGCCGTTCAACCAATCAATGCATAATATGCTAATGATATATACTAAGGCCACTCAACCGCTCACTATGATATGCACTGATCACCAGGGGGCAGACGTTCCAACTGGTAGGGACTGAGTGAGATGGGCCAGCCCCAATTGGGACTGAGTGAGATGGGCCAGCCACGCCCTGGAGCCCTCCCGTGTTCCCTCTCTGGCTGACCAACTTCCTGCGTCCCTCCCCAGCCCCAATTGTGCACCGCTGGGATCCCTTGGCCTGGCCTGTGCCCTCTTGCAATCCGGGACCCCAGTATTTAAAAGTTACTTTTTTAAAAAGTACACCCAACTTCACCAAACAACAATACAAATTGGAGGAATAGTCCCCAATTTTATGTTCGATTAATCCCATAGGTTTCTCCAATCTACCTTTAAGATTTCTTTTTAAATGACTCTGGATTCTTTTATCTTTCTTTGGCACCTCTAGTTTGCACTCAACTCAGTTCTGAGTCAGATGTAAAGCAAGTCACGAGATGCTGTACTTGACCACGTGCTTTGACCCAGCACATGTGGACAAAACTCTTCACAAACCAGAGGTTTCAGACAAGCTGTCCTTCCATCTCTACCTACAGGTCTAATCCTGGTTCCTTGGTTTGCAGCCTGGAATGCTTGGCAACTCTGGCTCCAACCATCAATTCAAATCAACAGCTTCAAAGTAAAATCTGGTTCCCTATAAAATTACATTTCCTTTTCATTTGAGTCTGTCGAATGATGAATGACAGCTGTTTTTCTTACTTATTAAATGTTTTCCCAGCTTTTGGTGGAAAACATTGCAAATTGTTGTTAGGTGTTATATTTCAAGCAATTGGAGGAAATATGTGTAGCTCCTTGGTCAGTCAAATCTGTTGGCCGAGTTTTGCTACATTTTACACTGGAAAAATTTAGAAAAGTATCTATTATTATTACATCTTTAAAGGAGAAGAACTGAATGCCCAGCAATATTATAAATGAATTAGACCAAGAAATTCATGTTGCTAAGTGACATGGTGAAAATATCTGTTCAATGTCTTTGATTATACATTCTTCTCCTTAATGGAAATGTGTGATTGCTACTAAATTGTACCAGAATTTTTGATGCCAGTAGGAACTGCTTTGCAGAATGAAAAACACATTCATTTCCAAACCCATTTTTAAAAGGTGATGTGAATAGTAATTTACCTTGTAGCAAATCCAGCTAAGTAATTTCTAGCCCACCTGAAACTTCTAGCAAGATTTTAATGTTATTGAGTCGCTCATATTGCCAGTGACTTCTAAACTACAATGCATAAAGGCTGGGCTTGCATCTCACTGCAGGGTTGGCTTCTTGGCCAGGAAAGTCAATGACTTAGACACAATGCGGTTAGCCAGTGATGTGTTCAGCGTTCCTTAGTGCATGGGTTCGGTGGAAGGAGAAGAAGCAAAGTCCTCTTTAGGCTGCTGGCCTAGAGATGCACATCATAGCATTGATTTTAGAGTCTCCATAGCAGCATTTGACGCACCTTCATAGAAGGTTCTGAACCATTAATATACGGTTTCTACCATCGTGGTGAGTCACATTCACCTCGAGTCCACTTCTAGGGAGGAACCTTGAAGCAGGTAGAGATAACGCCTGATGACTAAAGACTGGGTATAACTAACTCCCTGGCTTCTTCTCCATTTTTTAATAATATATGAAGCCTTTTTAAAGATTTTAATCTTTATTGATTAGAGAGAAAGAGAGATATCGATCGGTTGCCTCCTGTACCTACCCCAACTGGGGATTGAACCCCTAACCTGGGTATGTGCTCTGACCAAGAATCAAACACACCACCTCTGGTGTATGGGACGATACTCCAACCAACTTAGCCACCCCGACCAGGAGACTCTGCCTGTCTTCTAGTTGCAATTCCTTTTTCTTTCACTCAAGAAAGTGCACTAGAATTCAAATGTGTGAGGACATGATCATAGGAATAGAACAAGGAAACCAAGCTGGCAAATTTTGGTGCTTTAATTAACGTTGATCATGAATTACTTATGCAGCACCTCACAGCTGTGTTGTGATGCTGCTCTTGAAATCTGGTGGTCAGTATAAAAATAATCCCAGACTGACCATTGGAAGCAGAAAGTACCTGTGGATCATGCAAAGGACCATCAATGACAGATTCCATTTCCACATACACTGTATATGAAGGACCTCCAACAAGAGGGTAGGCAAGCCACAAAAACCCTGTCCCCTTAATGGATATTTCAGTCTAACATCTCTGGAAAGTACCATTGGTTGACTGATACAATCCAATTCTTTTCTCTTTTCCTTCTTCTTGTACAAAGGCTGAAAAGAAACTACTCCAACTCTCAGTCCCCCTAGAAGCTTAGACTAGCTGTGCGACACAGTTCTGGCCAATTAGATATAAGTAGAAGCCTGCTGGAATTGAGTCTTTCCTTCCTCCCTCCTTCATATTTAAATGAGAATGTTGTGGAGGAGCCCTATCATTTAGTCCCACTATCAGCTAGTCCCAGGACTCTAGATTTCTGGTTACATGACACAATTAAATCTCTGTTTAAGCTACCATCGGCAGGGTGTTCTCTTATGGCCAAAGGCTTCCCTAACTGATAGAGAATTCTGTACAATGAGATCAATGAGCAAGTTCAGACTATTCAGCTGACAATAGTTTGTCACCTAGAAATACTGTGTCTGCGTCTGTGCATAGGCAGAGAGGAGGAGCAGCCTGATCCAGGAGATCCTGTAGATAGCCTTCAAATTTCCTAATGTGATTCTTGGGCCTTAACCTTAGTCACCCAGTTGCCAGTGCTATTAGCCATGCAGCCAAAATTCATGACTTCTTAAACTTCAAATTCTGATGGGGACTTAAATATGGGTGTGTCACCATATGCCTTCCACCAGTGGGTTCCTAGGACAGGCAATAACTGTAGGATATATACAAAGAGGGGGAAGGAAGGGATGCGGAAGGTTTTGTCCTGTACCCATGGGTTCCCCATCCACTGGGAAGAGGTATTCCTGCAGAGGATGTGAGCAGGGACATGTGAACAGTTGAGGCTCTACCGGGTTAGTTTATAACACTGCTTACAACCTCTGGTAGCTATAATTGCCGCCAGCCCTGGCCTGGTCACCGTGATAGCCATCTCCGAACATTTGGCCTCAGTCTCTGACTTACATCCTTAGACAGAGGGTAGACCCTGTCATCTTTCCCCAGTACCTGGCCTCTTGGGGATTGAGTCTATCTTCCCAACCCTATGTGCCTTTCCACAAAGTATAAACTCTCCCCATAAGAGGCTGCAGAGAGGTACTTGGCCTGGCATAGGACTTCTGGTATGCCCGTTGCAAAAAGCAAACTTTCTGTTGAACTGAGGTGAATACATGTGAGAGAACTTATCTTAGATGTCTGGCAACTAAGCCTGAGGTAAGCAGAATGCTCCAACTCTCCCCAAACGCCCAAGTCTCAATCCCTGGAACCTGTGAATGTTACCTTACGTGACAAAGGGGATTTTGCTGATGCAATTATGTTAAAGGCTTTGAGGTGGGGGATTATCCTGGATGATCTGGTGGACCCAGTGTAATCATGGGTGTCTTCATAAGTAAAAGAAGGAGGTAGGAGAGTCAGAATCAGAGAGAGATGAGAAGATGTTGTGCTGCTGGCTTAGAGGTTGGAAGAAGGGACCAGGGGCCAAAAAAGCAGGCAGCCTCCAGAAGCTGTATAAGGCAAGGAAACAGATTCCTCCTTAGTTCTGCTGACGCCTTGATTTTAACCCATTGTGATCCAATTTAGCCTGACCTCTACAACTGTAAGATCATAAATCTGTACTGTTTGAAGCCACTACGTTCAAGGCAATTTATTCCAGCAGCAATAGAAAATTACTACAGGGCTAGATCCAGCCCATAGATGTGTTCTGTTGGATTTACAGTCTTTTGAAAATCTGGAAATGTCACCTAAGTGTCCCAGTCTTAGTTTCTCTTGGGGGACCTTCCCCCACCTTCCCCCAACAACAGAAGATCAGACAATAGTTCTGGTGACAGAAATCAGCTGGAGCTGGGGAGAGGCTGCCCCCTTCAGTCCTGGCGGGGCTTTGCACTATCCTGTTGTCTATCCACTTGACCGCTGGCAGCTTACTTTGTAGATAAGGATCAAAAGTTCATGTGCATTCTACATGAAAGAATGACCTTTACCTTGCTAAAATGTATAAGTGAGAAATTTGGGGGCAGGAATGAAAAGGAGTAAGAGGCATGTACACAAATGGAAACTTCCTTCTTATTTACCTTGGACTTCATAACATCGATGAGAACACAACCTAACACTCTACATGCACTCTAAGCTTTAAAACCTTGTATGGTTGCCTGACCAGAGTGGCTCAGTGGTTGAGTCGACCTATGAACCAGGAGGTCTGGGTTCGATTCCCCATCAGGGCACATGCCTGGGTTGTGGGCTCGATCACCAGTAGGGGGTATGCAGGAGGCATGATGATTCTCTCTCATCGTTGATGTTTCTATCTCTCTCTCCCTCTACCTTCCTCTCTGAAATCAATAAAAAAATAAAAGTAAAATAAAATAAAATAACCTTGTGCAATTACCTGCAAACGGTGGTCCCAGCAATGCAGAGATGCCGTTAGCACAGATGATGATGCCATAGGCATTGGCCAGGTGCTCAATCCCCACCAAGTCTTCAGTCACTACGGGCATCAGGGAGAAGTAACCGCTGGAAAAGCCTATCAGAGCGCAGATGACGGCCAGGCTGGCATACGTGTGCATCAGTGGCAGAAGGAAAATACTGAGCACAAGGGTGAGGTTGGCCATCAGGAAGACATTCCAGACGCTGATGCAGGGCAAGTCCGCCACGATGCCCAGGATCACTTTTCCAAAGATATGAACTATTGCTATAATTGACGTCAGAGGGAAAACGTCGTTTTGCTCTGATAAATTATACAAATTGACTATTTCTGGGAGGTGAATGAAAGGGATGACAAAGCTGCTGTACGCAAACAGAGCCCAGAAAATAAAGGCTACAAACACCCTATTAGTAAAGAGTGAGGCTGCCCCAAAATAGCCGGAGTACCATTCCTGGAAGCCCTTCCTGACCCTGAGGGTCAGCTGGCTCACCATCTTCAGCATCCGAAAGGCGCACATGTTCTTCCTGTGCCCGGCCTCCTCGGGGCACGCCTGGTCTGCAAGGTCACCCAGGGTCTCCTCGCGCCCGGGATTGCCCTCCTTTTCGTCTGCCCTGCCCAGCTGTCCACTGGACTTAACTGATTCCGTGGAGTGGGCAGGGGGGACTTGCGGATCTCTCCCTGCTGGGTCCTTTCCCTCCTTCCCAGGAGAGAGGGGCCTCATGAGCGCCCCGCAAACACACAGGTTTAAGGAGACGGCGCCTTGGATGAACATCGCGTTCCGCCACCCATACTCTGCGCACAGGTACTTCAGCAGGACCGTCATGAGGAAGGTGCCAAAGCCGGTCCCTGTGGTGCTGAGGCCCTGGGCAAGGGCGCGCCTTTTCTGAAAGTATCTGCCCACCATGACCACGGCCGGCAGGTAGGCCATCCCGCTCCCAAAGCCTGCACGGTTGAAAGGGGAAGAAAAAGCACACAGCTCAACATAAATGGCCATCTCCAGAATTGGCAGCATTTGAAGATCATCTGCGTTGCATTATCCTTGTCTCTATGCTATTTAAAGACACCAACTAATACTTGTTAAAAAATAGCTCAGTGGGTAAGTACCAAGAGGGTCATCCCCAAAGTTTCTAGCCCATCAGTTCCCCCAACAGGCTTTGCAATACAAGTTATTTTGATAATAGAATAAGATCAATTCTCACATCAGAATGTAAGCTCTGGGGCAGGGCTGTGAATTTCCTGTCCTCCTTGGTACTGTCTCTTACTGCCCAGGACACACATGATGTGCTTAGTGATTTGCTGAAAGAATGCATGGCTTCTGAGGGCTCCTGTGTCAGGGCTAAATGCACAAAGTACCCAGGAAAGTGTTTACGGGGGATGAAGATCACCTCCAGGCAATATGCAGAAGCCTTAGGAAGGGGCCAATCTGTTCACAAATTAATTGGAAGAATAAAAGGAATTATAATGTGCCCATAAATATACACACCTGAGGTCAAAGCCACCTAACACTTATTTGTATCTCTGATTTTGAATTGTATTGTCTCTTTCTTAGAAAATAGGCACAGTTTGTGATTTGCACTGACAAAATTACAATGCTGGTGGGGAATGTTTGTGTTGGGGCCAGTGGTTTGGGGATCTCTCTACTTTCTCCTCAGTTTCGCTGTGGACTTAAAACTGCTCTACAAAATGAAGTATGTTAAAAAATAAACAAAATGAAATGAAAATACTGGCCAAATGAAATGAAAATAGAGGTTATGGGTTTTATGCTCAAGTTCTAGGTACAGACAGGGAAACCGTAATCCCCACTTCAATGACCATGGGGCCCCATTTGGACCTCCCAACATTAGGATGGCAGCATCCTATATAATAAAAGGCTAATATGCAAATCGAACGAATGGTGGAATGACCAGTCGCTATGATGCACACTGACCACCAGGGGGCAGGTACTCAATGCAGGAGCTGCCCCATAGTGGTCAGTGAGCTCCCACAGGGGGAGAACCGCTCAGCCACAAGCCAGTCTGACGGCTGGCGAGAGCAGCAGCAGTGGTGGGAGCTCCTCCCATCTCCACGGCAAAACTAAGGATGTCCCACTGACGGTGCAGGCCCACTCCCCAGTCGGACATCCCCCAAGGGCTCCTGGACTGTGAGAGGGCGCAGGCCGGGCTAAGGGACCCCCACCTGAATGCACGAATTTTGTGCACTGGGCCTCTAGTATAGTATAAAGAGACTCTAAGCAATATCACATGCCAAGGTTGAAGGCTCCCCAGTTCAAAATCATTTAAGAGTTTCAGAATTACTTGAATTTGGAAGGAGACCAGAGCAATCATACATGAAAATACAATCAAAATTACCAGTAATTGAGTGCCCATGATAGGCCAGTTGCTTTACAGGCTTTATCTGATTTAATTTTCACAATAACTCTGAAAGCTAGCTGTGGTTATAAAAGGGGGTGTTGAACCTCATAGAGCAGTGATGGCGAACCTATGACATGTGTGTCAGAGGTGACATGCGAACTCATTTTTTGGTTGATTTTTCTTTGTTAAATGGCATTCAAATATATAAAATAAATATCAAAAATATAAGTCTTTGTTTTACTATGGTTGCAAATATCAAAAAATTTCTATATGTGACATGGCACCAGAGTTAAGTTAGGGTTTTTCAAAATGCTGAAATGCCGAGCTCAAAAGGTTCACCATCACTGTCATAGAGATTAAGTTACTTTCCCAAGACCCCTAGCTGGTAATTGAAGAATCCAGTTGGAATTCAGACCCAACGTCAGAGCCTTTCTCTTGCCCATGCTGCCTCTCACCCTACACTGCTCATCCCCTAGTGGCCAGTAGGTAGCTGCAGAAGGATTTTGATTATTTGTGTGCATTGCTTATAACTGGACCTCTTCTCCCCTTTTGCTAGACTACAAGCTCCACGAGGGCAGGGATGTGTTTGGTCCACTGATGGGCCTAGAGCCCTTTCTCAAGAGTGCTCTGTGTGTCTAGAACAGCCGTGGGCAAACTATGGCCCATGGGCCGGATCTGGCCCCTTTGAAATGAATAAAACTAAAAAAAAAAAAAGACCGTACCCTTTTATGTAATGATGTTTACTTTGAATTTATATTAGTTCACACAAACACTCCATCCATGCTTTTGTTCCGGCCCTCCGGTCCAGTTTAAGAACCCATTGTGGCCCTCGAGTCAAAAAGTTTGCTCACCCCTGGTCTAGAACAATGCCTGGCATTGTTATAACAACAAAAAAATGAAATAAAGTTCTATGGTAAGATAAATAGTCACATTTAAAAATAATAGCTACCTTTTTCATTGGAGATTAATTTTATACTTCCACAGTTAAGGTACAAAAATCTCAGCTGCAAAATAAGTGTATCAGTGGTCACTATGGAAAAAAATTATTTGTTAAAGAACCAAGAAATTATTTGATATTAAATATTGTGGCACAGAATTATTGTCCTCCTCCATAATGTTTTGAAAGCAAATCCTGAATATGTCATTTTCATGTGCAAAGATTTTTAGTATAAGTCTCTAAATATTTATTATGATTCAACAATGTAATCTTATCATTATCTATCTGAAAAATGAGCAATTCTTTAATATCATGAAATATCCAGAAGGTTTCCATACTTACATTTGTCTCATAAATGAGTATATTCTTTAAAAACTTAATTGGTTAAGTCAGGACCTAGTAAGACCTACACATTGCTATTTGTTGATTTGTATTTTAAGCTTCTTCCATAATTAGCACAATTATTACATGAGCTTATAGGACAGGACTTGGGATGGTTATTCTGGCTCAAGCCATGCATCAGTCAAAGCTCTGCAAATGTCCTGCCCTGTGAAGGACCCTGGAACAATTACTCACCGCACTTAGGTTTAGAGGATGGACTTATAGCCCAAGAGGTGGGTGGAGGAAGGAGGCTCAGAAGGGAGAGAACATCCTGTGGTTCCAGGTCTGTGTGGTGGGAGAAAAGGTGTCTTCAGAGCCAGGTGTAAGACAAGGGAGCTCTGGCAAAATTGAAGAAATTTGTCCAGACTCCCTTGGCTAAGTAAAATTGCTCAAACAGACATTAATTTTCCGCTTAATAAGAGAACACTCCCACGCAATTTTAATTGCCTAGGTGTTAAAAATAAAAATGCAGCCAGACTCAGTGGTTATTGGCTCGATCCTGAGTAGGGGGCATGCAGGAGGCAGCCCATCGATGTTCCTCTCTCATCGATGTTTCTCTCTCTCTCTCCCTCTCCCTTCCTCTCTCTCTAAAAACAATAAAAACTTTTTTTTTAAAAAAGATACAAAAAAATCTGTCTGAAATGCTTTTAGGAATGAAGGATACCAACAAAGTTTCTTTCAAACACAAACTGTACAGCGATATAAATATATATCAATCACCTGCCTTTTGCAGTATATTTTTACATCTAACTTTGTTCTTATAAAGGGGCTAGATTGCCAAGCAGCTTCAACATGCCCCACTAATGACAGCCCAACAGCATTTGGCTCATTTTAATCTAACTGATTTAGTTAATTTTTTCACTTAACTACAGATATATATATATATATATATATATATATATATATATATATATATATATATATATAGTGTGGGGGGGGCGGGGAGGTGGGTGAATGTATTTTCAGAGACTCTTTATTTGGGTTTTTCCTGTATAAAAAATGGGAGCAATAAAGTGTCTCAAGAAATACTTTTCTTTCAAAGCCTTCTAATTTTCTTCCTACTTCTTTGGATCTATAAACATACTTTGAATAAATAAATGGATGAATGAATGAATAAATAAATAAATAGATATTTGAGGAGCAATAAGCAATTAACTGCAAGAAATAAAATTCCATTTAAACAAAGAATGTAACAGAAATCTCTAAATGATGAGAATAAGTCTCAAGTCCTGGTTATTAAAATCAAGTCATAATCCATATAACCAAACACCACCAGATCAATTTCACAGGGGGGCCCACGTGTCTGCCCAGAGACCCCAGTGTGTCTCAGTCTCAGCAGAAAGAGTGTTTATCTCCTTACCTATAATACAAAAATCCCGTTCGAGCTCTATTCATTGGACTGTTATGAGGAAAAGTTTCTAAAAAAAGTCTGTAGTCAAAAAGAAAGTCAGCTGGATCTGGTTCATTTAATAACAACTGTACCAGAAAGAAACTACTTCTTATCCGTGTGAATTCTGCTACCTGTTGATAAAGGAAATTATGGCTGGGAAGATATTTGTCTGAACGAATATGCAAACCGTGCTGCTCGGCAGCCAATTTTTACCTCTCCACTGGGGACTACCACTCTAACTGTGCTCTAGATTTGCTTCTTAGGTCTCTACATGTAGATGGGTTTTGCTGCTATGTCATTAATTTGAACAGGGCTGAAAGCCAAAATGATTATTCTGTGATTCGTGATTAATTCTGCAGTTTTTAAATGAGAATGTTATTAATTTCCTGAATATTTCACCTACATCCGTATTTTTACCCCCCCCCCCCCTTTCCTGTACTTATAAGAGAAAGCATAGCGCTTAGAACCAGGTATGGAAAATGTAATTAAATTCTATTAGTGAGTGCCCTGACTGTTGTTGCTCAATGGGTAGAGTGTCTGCCTGTGACACCAAAGGGTTGTGGGTTCATCTCCTGGGTCCAGTTGGGGTGTTTCTTTCTTCCTCCCTTCCTCCTTTCCTCCCTCCCTCTCTCAATCCCTCCCTCCTTTCCTCTCTCTATAAAAAAAATTCTATTAGACCAAGTACAGTTGTTAGGTTGTTCTGGCATACTTAAGGCATATTTAATATATTAAAAAGTATTTCCTGGAGGATAAAATGGGGGAGGGAGGGAATGGAGGAGACAGAAAGACAAAATACTTTAATGGGTCTCTTTACTGCACAATAAAATTCATTGCCAAAATGCCCAATCAAAACATTTAACGTCAAATTAAAATAAAATCGATATGCTTACCAGCTGTCACTCCGAAGGTAATAAAGAGATAATGAACGTTGGCAGCATAGGCACTCAGTACCCAGCCCAGCGAGTTCACGAGTCCTCCGATGATCGCTGTCCCACGGCAGCCACAGGTGTTAATGAACAAGCCGATGAAAGGTCCTGCCGCAGAACATGGACAAGGGAATTGTCTAAAAGCATTTTATTTCCCTGCTTGCTTAGTAAACCCTCATATAAAGGCAAAGAATAAAACTTTTCTAGGTCTGTTAAATAAAACACCCCCACTGCTTTATGTATGTATTTATTCTTTTTTTTTTTTTTAGCAAAAGAAAATAACCAAATTTAATACATACATATGTATGGGAATCCCGCATACACGAGAGAGTCAGAGACCCCACCTGACATGAGAGGTTCAGACAGAAAGGGGAATCTAGGGATATGACATTCTGAGTAGGGGTGAGGTAATGCACCTCGGGGACTTCAAAGGGTCAAACCCCACGGCTTTATACGAAAAAAGGCTTCTCGCATGCAAAGATGGGTTTTAATAATTTCACTGTGAGCACAAGGTTCTAGGTGTTCAAGGAAGGTAGACCTGAAATAGATACATTGGCTCATTCTCTTAACACAGCAGAAGTCCTAAACTGATGTGGGGGCTCTATCCAGCCTGTCATTGCATTTTGTTTATCCCAAACAACAAGAAACTCTTAGCTGACTGTGTACCCAAATATGTTTTAAAAATGTGTTGAATAATTGGTCACACTTTAAATGAAGAGAATTTAAAAAAAAGTTCATTGTCTTCCCACACAGCTCAAATCAGCTGGAGCTGTGCAGTAGCTGGTCCCTTTAGCTGCATCACACCCTCTCTAGTTTGCTGCAATCTCCACCTTCCCCTTAGTTTTATATCTGGCCTCCTGCTCTCATTTACATGAACTGTTTGGCTACTGTGCACATTTCAGTTTTTGACTCCAGACCTAAAGGGAGTACAGGAAGGGGGTTCTCAGGACTCCCAGGCTTCAGGCGAAGAACCTATAACCTGTTGTCACGAGGACACCAGATCAAGCCACGCTGAAAAGGCCTCCTCAGACTGGACCCAGCAGGCTAGGCATTTATCACACCATGTGGAGAGTCAGGAAAACACTCGTTATGCAAGATCTCCCAATGCTCACATTCTGATTGCTTACTTTAATATGATGCTCTAGTTTTTGTCAACCCTCTTTGTTTTCTTCCTGATTTTGTGGTAATTTCGGATGTCACTGAAGCCTAATGCTTGTCTTGTAATCAATGATTCCTTGTCCATATAGCAATCTAGATTTTAGCAATACAGTGCAGTATGAAGCCATACTCAACATCCAGTAAGATGGCACATTTTAAACATCATCTTATTTTTTATCATTATTATCTTACATAGTTTCATAACTGTACTCAGGTGGGACTATGCAGGTTAAAAACTTGTTGAACTCTAAGGAGCTTCCCCTTTTAGCCCAAACTAAAGAACGCCCTGTGGAGTTCTAACTATATTCATGTGCATATCTGGGTACACAGTCAGCTAAGAGTTTTTGTTGTTGTTTTGAACTAATGGTTTTGAGAGGGCCTAATTCTAAAAATTATGAAGGTAAAGACTTATTCACTTAAGCCTATCATTACAGAAAATAATTCAGTAGATAAATCTCTTAGGATAGATTTAATATAGTAAATATATTCTAGATAAATATACTTTTATAGGTATTATACAATAAGCACATTATACAAATATGTAAACTAAGCATATTGATAAACATCTGGGGGAATTATTGGGAACAACTGAAATTCAAAGTTTAAGATATTTCTTTGATTCCTTTACAAATATTTTTATTTTTCTAAACCCGTGGTCATTTCACTACTTGAATCCAAATGAACAGCTAAAAAGAGAAAAAATGCATGACTCATGGCTTTGCTGTTAATAGGCCTTTTAGGATCTGAAAGGCCAACAGATCACAGTGCAGTAGCCTGAACATGTTTTCTACATTACAGGAAGGCCCAGAAGCAAGTATTTCTGCCTGCTTATGAAACTTGCATGAAGAAAGCATTTGAAGAAAAAGGGGGAGAAATTCCCAAGTGCAGATATTCCTGTCTACAGGAATATTACATATCAAAAAGCAATATGAATTGCTTTACTGATAGGAACATTAGTTAATAACGGTGTCGGTTCATCAACTCTCGCCCCATTCAAGCTGGGGCTTCAGTCATTTATGATTTGCAGACGGGCAAAGTCAGACCCAGAAATGCCATGAGTGACTCCTCCATAGTTACAAACTATAGGTACGCCAGGCCCAAGCGTTCTGACTGTTTAGTTTTCTAACCATTGCTTATTGATGGCCAGCGGCATCTCCAAGCTGGAACTGCTATTTCAACAAGATGAGAAGAACTCCCCACACGGCCTAAGGAGAGGGGGAAAAGATTGAGACACAGTCCTTTGGCTATGATCCCCACTTTTGTAGAGGAATTCAGTGTTTTGGAATGAGAGTATTCATCATCAGACTCTCTCTTCTCCAGAAGGAAATTGGAATCTCAGCCCATTTCCCACACAGTAAAGTGTTATGTTGCTGCAGAGAACACCCTGAGAAAGTCATGATTTCTTGCCCATCCCAGCATCTCATAGGTTAAAAACAGTTCAGGTGAGGGCAGAAACAATCTGAAGTGAGCTCTGGCATACAATCATGGATGAGGTTAGATATGAACTCCTGGTCTCTTGGACTAATCACCCCTCACAGCAATAGGCATTAGGAGCCTCTAAATCAGTGGCTCTCTGCTTTAGCTGAACATTGGAGTCACTTAGGAGCTTTAAAAAAAGAAACACCTCCCTCCTCCCAAACCATGACGCTCCGGTCTCATCCCATGATCCTGATGTAATGGTCCAGGTGCAGCCCTAGCATTATGGTTATTAAAAGTGCCCGGGGGCTCTGATGTGCAGCCAGGACTGACACCCACTGCTCTACATCTGCTTAGCAAGTCCGTGACCTTGTGCAGCCCACAGAATCCCCTAATGACATGGCTTCCACCAAGAATTATTCTGAGAGCCATCACCAAGTCGGCTGGAAATCCAAATAAGGTGTTAAAAATTGTTAAAAAGTGGAACCTTCTGCAGAAACTGGCAAAATCCATGCTAGCAAAAAATGAAAAACAAGAATGAAATTATTGAATTTCCCATGTGCAACTCACTGCCCAACAGAGAGATGGCTTTCAAGTTTGTAACATAATTCACATTTTTTTAATTTAAAAGGGATAACCCAATTGTGCTATAGTGATTAGAAAGTAAAAACAATTTGTATTTATCTACTTGAGATATATTTTCAGTTCTCATTCGACATCGTGGCAGGCAGTGTGGTATAGTGGACACCATTTTGGAGTCCAGTGGACCAGGGTTAAACCCGGTCCCACACTTACTGGCTGATCAACCTTAGGTAAGTTACTTAATGTCTCTGAGCATTGCATGTTCTTCCTGTCAGGTGGGGATGATGGGCTGGCCTCCAGTATTGCTGCTGGATCAAATGAGATCATGTACATAATATTGGTGTGGCATGTAGTAAGTGCTAAATAAAGGGGGCTGTTCTTGATGGCTTCTGACTTGAAAAAATACTCAATGCATCTGCAGCTCCCCTGTACCAGGCAGCTCTAGACAATGAACAGCCATTTAGGGTTATGATAGATAGAATAAAAGACCTTTCGTTGATATAACTATGAGCCTTGCTGTGTTATGATTTCTGAGCCCCACAGCAAAAGATGTTTTTTAGGTACCTTTTCTGTAGAAAGGTTAGTCTACAATCTAAAGTTCCATTGTCTGGAATTCAGGGATTCTGGGCTCTCAAACAGAATTCTGAATATAGTTATCTCCCAATTAAACTGAAGATAACAATCACATTTCACCATCATTACAAGTTAAGTGTTGTTATTTTGAGAATCAACTTCAAAACTATATTCAGTCATTTTAGGACTAGTTTCCATTGCTTAAGACAGCCTTATCGGGTATTTTGGAAAATGCTGTGATATTATATGCCCTGGCTTTTTGCTGAGTCTTCTTTTGTTGTTGTAAACACACACTTCCTAGATGGAATCTATAAGTACTTTGTTCAATCTCTTAAAATTTTATTTTTAAAAAGGTAAAAAACAAACAAACAAAACCACCCAGGATTTTAAGTATTCTAGAAGAACAATTTTCTTTTACTGACTTATTGAGAAGGTATATTTACTACATCCAACACAAAACCAGCACATTCCCTACATCACAGTAAAACTTGCATTTTTTGTATGACAAATGGTCCTAGTTTTAGCCCAACGCAGGGTTGAAGAAGTCAGGTCATCAATGTTATAGGCAAACATGATTTCTTAACATTCCTCTCACATACATAATGATGCCCTTATTTAATTTTAAAACTAGGTCAGTATTAATTCTCTTTGACACACACACACACATCCCACCCATATCTTGGGAAATAACAGTTTGTCCTTGTTTTTTCTCATTAGTATTATTACTGTATTAATATCATGTGTATTGCCCAAAATAGCATTAATTGAGAGCCAGCCAAGATCAACAAATCTCTGAGTTGAATTCAAACAATTACTTGCTAATGTAGAAACCACTGAAAAGTCACAGACTCCCATCAAACACACATATGCTTGTCATACACATATTCTCACAAAACCAGAAAAAGATTTGAGGCCATTTATGTTTCTGGTATAAAATATATCACAAATATTTTAAATTAAAAAAAACTGACATAAAATGATGGTTGCTTCTTTCAAGTGGTGCAAGTGAACATTAGGGTATAGTGTAGATTGTTAGAATTAAATGAGCACCTGGTATATAATAAGTACTTCTTGAATATTAGTTGACAGTGAAAGTTGTTTAGTTCCCAAAATGAAACACATTAGCTATAATAACAGATTACATTTATAATAACTTTCTGGTTTAATATTTCCAATTGGATAAGAATTGGTTTCATAGATTGCTGTATGGGTAGGCTTTAACTAGAAAATGCAGATA